GGGCACTAGGGCCTTCGGTGGAGCTCCCTATGAGACCACGAAACGTGTGAGGGGTGTGCCGAAATGGGTGTGGGTGACGCATGCGGGCGCGGGCACTGGGGCCGTCGGTGGAGCTCCCTATGGGCCACGAAACGTGTGAGGGGTGTGCCGAAATGGGTGTGGTTCACGCATGCGGGCGCGGGCACTGGGGCCTTCGGTGGAGCTCCCTATGGGACCACGAAACGTTTGAGGGGTGTGCCGAAATAGGTGTGGCTGACGCATGCGGGCGCGGGCACTGGGGCCTTCGATAGAGCTCCCTATGGGGCCACGAAACGTGTGAGGGGTGTGCCGAATGGGTGTGGGTGGCGCATGCGGGCGCGGGCACTGGGGCCTTCGGTGGAGCTTCCCATAGGGCCACGAAGCGTGCGAGGGGCGTGCCGAAATGGGTGTGGCTGACGCATGCGGGCGCGGGCACTGGGGCCTTCGGCGGAGCTCCCTATGGAGCCACGAAACGTGTGAGGGGTGTGCCGAAATCTGTGTGGCTGACGCATGCGGGCGCGGGGGACTTGGGCATTCGGTGGAGCTCCTCATGGGGCCACGAAACGTGTGGGGGGTGTGCTGAAATGCGCGTGGCTGGCGCATGCGGGCGCGGGCACTTGGGCCTTCGGTGGGGCTCCCCATGGAGCCGCGAAACGTGTGAGTGGTGTGCCGAAATGTGTGTGGGTGACGCATGCGGGCGCGGGCACTGGGGCCTTCGGTGGAGCTCCCTATGGAGCCACCAAGCGTGTGAGGGGTGTGCCGAAATGGGTGTGGTTGACGCATGCGGGCGCGGGCACTGGCGCCTTCGGTGGAGCTCCCTATGGGGCCACGAAACGTGTGAGGGGTGTGCCGAAATGGGCGTGGGTGACGCATGCGGGCGCGGGCACTGGGGCCTTCGGTGGGATCCCTATGGAGCCCGAATGGCGTGCCACGAAAGTGGGTGGGTGTGCCGAAATGGGTGTGGCTGACGCATGCGGGCGCGGGCACTGGGGCCTTCGGTGGAGCTCCCTATGGAGCCACGAAACGTGTGAGGGGTGTGCCGAAATGTGTGTGGCTGACGCATGCGGGCGCGGGCACTGGTGCCGCCTTCGGCCTTCGGTGGAGCTCCCTATGGAGCCACGAAACGTGTGAGGGGTGTGCCGCATTGTGCGTGCGTGACGCATGCGGGCGCGGGCAATGGGGCCTTCGGCTGAGCTCCCTATGGGGCCACGAAGCGTGTGAGGGTGTGCCGAAGTGGGCGTGGGTGACGCATGCGGGCGCGGGCACTGGGGCCTTCGGTGGAGCTCCTATGGAGCCGCGAAACGTGTGAGGGGTGTGCCGACATGGGTGTGGGTGGCGCATGCGGGCGCGGGCACTGGGGCCTTCGGTGGAGCTCCCTATGGAGCCACGAAACGTGTGAGGGGCGTGCCGACATGGGTGCGGGTGGCGCATGCGGGCGCGGGCACTGGGGCCTTCGGTGGAGCCCCCTATGGAACCACGAAACGTGTGAGGGGTGTGCCGAAATGGGTGTGCGCTGACGGGGGAACAACATTTGTCTTGGCTTCGCCCTAGCAGCGGCGGGTTCATTCCTCTGGCGCGCCCACGCAGCTCCGCCTCGCCCGCATGCACGACACGAACGAAGCGAAACGATTTCCCGGTTGCATGCGGGCGCGGGCACTGGTGCCTTCGGTGGAGCTCCCTATGGAGCCACGAAACGTGTGAGGGGCGTGCCGAAATGGGTGTGGCTGACGCATGCGGGCGCGGGCACTGGGGCCTTCGGTGGAGCCCCCTATGGAGCCACGAAGCGTGTGAGGGGTGTGCCGAAATGAGTGTGGGTGACGCATGCGGGCGCGGGCACTGGCGCCTTCGGTGGGTCTCCCTATGGAGCCACGAAACGTGTGAGGGGTGTGCCGAATTGGGCGTGGGTGACGCGTGCGGGCGCGGGCACTGGGGCCTTCGGTGGAGCCCCCTATGGAGCCACGAAACGTGTGAGGGGTGTGCCGAAATAGGTGTGGGTGGCGCATGCGGGCGCGGGCACCGGGGCCTTCGGTGGAGCTCCCTATGGGGCCACGAAACGTGTGAGGGGTGCGCCGAAATGAGCGTGGCTGACGCATGCGGGCGCGGGCACGAGGGAGGAGGGGGAAGAGGAGGAGAGGAGAGGAACGCGGGTCACCGTCTCTTCAAAACGAGGACCCAACACCACAGGATGGTTGGGAATGAGCCTGGCGAAGGACCCAACCATATGCAGTTGTGAGTACCGCAATTGCAAAAATCTTCGTCAGTGGCGCCCCCCTATGGGGCCACGAAACGCGTGACGGGTGTCCCGAAATGGGTGTGTGTGACGCATGCGGGCGCGGGCATTGGGGCCTTCGGTGGGGCTCCCTATGGGGCCACGAAGCGTGTGAGGGGTGTGCCGAAATGGGTGTGGGTGACGCATGCAGACGCGGGCACTGGGGCCTTCGGTGGAACTCCCTATGGGGCCACGAACCGTGTGAGGGGTGTGCCGAAATGGGCGTGGGTGACGCATGCGGGCGCGGGCACTGAGGCCTTCGGTGGAGCTCCCTATGGGGCCGCGAAACGTGTGACGGGTGTGCCGAAATGGGCGTGGGCGACGCATGCGCGCGCGGGCACTGAGGCCTTCGGTGGAGCTCCCAATTGGACCACGAACCGTGTGACAGGTGTGCCGAAATGTGTGGGTGACGCATGCGGGCGCGGGCACTGGGGCCTTCGGTGGAGCTCCCTATGGAGC